CCGGACTACGCTCAGCAATCTCATATCGAAGCAACTCCGACTCGTCAAGCGTATGCGCGAACACACCAAGCTGGAATCGATGGTTTGTCAATTCAGAAATTTGAAACAGATCGCTGGTGTGAAATCATTCAAACGCAAAGACCTGATCGCATCGATGACGACAGCGACTGGCACAGAAGCCACCGTCCGACAGAGCATTGCGGACATCTTTGCCGCTTTCTACGAGCAGCTGTACAAGGACCCAAAAGGCAACAGAGTCAGCAACGAGACAACCGCAGCGACTCCCCAGATACCACCGTTCACAACTGAAGAGCTTCGCCGTGCCATCAAGCAGTTAAAGAACGGCAAATGCAGCGACACCGCGGGAATCACAGCGGAACTTTTGAAGGCAGGCGGGGAAGTTGTGGAACGACATTTACTCCAATTCTACAACGACATCATCAAACCAGACCACCCACCACCCGAGCAGTGGAAGAAGACGGTGATCACGGTGATTGACAAGTCCGGCGACCCAAAGTTACCACAGAACTACAGGCCGATTGCTATCATTCCACTACTCTACAAGCTTATGTCACGCCTCCTCTGCAATCGGCTTGAAAAGGCATTTGATTTGCAGCAAAGCGTCGATCAGGCTGGGTTCAGGCGAGGCTTCAGCACCGAGGACCACCTCTTCACCGCGACAATGCTACATGAGAAGTCGTTCGCGTGGCAGTTACCCCTGTGGGCAGCAGTAATCGACTTCAAGAAAGCATTTGATTGCGTCGACCACGACAAACTTTGGAAAGCTCGGCGACAACAGCACATACCAGACAACTACATCGAGTTCTTACAGCGCCTGTACGACGACCAGACGGCCACTGTATGAACCGATACTAACAGCAGAAGTTTTTCACTCCAACGGGGGGTGAAACAGGGCGACCCGCTGAGCTCATTCTTGTTGAATGCACTCTTGGAGTACGTCTTCAGGCAGCTGAAGCCAAGCTGGCACCGCAGGAAGTTTGGCATCAAGTTGGGTTTTTCCCCACGGACCAGCATCACAAATTTGCGCTTCGCAAACGACATTCTTCTATACGCCCCGAATTTGCGACAGCTCACATGTCTACTGCGAGACTTGAGGAAAGAGGCGTCCAACTGTGGACTTGCACTGCACCCAGACAAAACTAAGATACTGACGAACATAAGCCGGAGGATGGGAAGGGCAATTACACATATTATGTTGGACGGCGCGCAGATCGACATACTGCCAAACGACCAGGGCACAAAATACCTGGGAAGAAAATTAACGTTCCACGAGTTCCACGACACAGAGCTACAGAACAGGCTCGCCAACGGATAGGCGAAGTTCAACCAATTGCGACACGAACTCACAAACAAACGGTTCCCACTACACAACAGACTGAAGCTCTTCAACGGCACCATCACACCTTGTGTTATGTACGCATGCTCATCTTGGACCTTGACGAAGGACATGCTTATCACTTTACGACGGGCGCAGAGGAAAATGCTGAGGCTTGTAATTGGGACGCCGAGGAGACGAACCTCGACCGAGCACAGAAGAAAGACAAATGATACCGACAGCAGTTTCATCACCATCGCCGACAGCAACAACACCGACACCAGCGCTGGCACCAGCACCGACGCCTGCACCGAGCAACGCAGCCAAAACCACAGCGAAGATGACGACGACATGGAATCATGGGTCCGCTTCCTACGAAGAAGTACATCCACCGCTGTGGTTCTTGCGAAGCGCGCACAGGTCGACGAATGGACTGATGTATACTTTAAGAGAAAGTGGAATTTTGCAGCACGTACCGCCAATCACGACATTGAGCGATGGACTCGTCTGAGTGCGACCTGGGACCCCAACGTACACGACTCACGACCAGCTTTTCGCAGACACGGAGGGCAACGAAAGTCTTGGGAAGACGACATCGTATCTTATTTGCGTAGCAATCATATTAACGATTGCGAAACACAGTGGTGGGAACTGGCACAGAATCAGACATGGTGGGACCATCAGGGACAACTTTTCTTACAACACATGCGCCGGTATATGGATTCGGACAGTTGCGTCCACGCCTACGAGTGATGATTCTCATCAGCACGTTACAGTTTTTATTATTTGTTCACATGGACGTGCCGTTTCGTTACGCCGACCAGACCATCATCACATTCTCCAGCTTCGTTTTCTTCGGCTCCGATTCCCGCTCCGTCTTGCAGATGATCCACAACAAGCTGGACCCGAACGCCGGCCTCAAACTTCCGACCTCCACCTCCCGATTCTGCATTCCCACCCTTATCCGCTTACGACGCCCACTCCCGCCTCCACCTATCGACTTCTGGCCTCCCATCGCCCCCCCAATCCCCACCAGCTCAGCTCCCCGACCCCCAGCCTCCAGCATCCGACTTTCCACTTCCACCTCTACCTATCGACCTCCAACGTCCACCAGCTCAGCACTCCGACCTCCAGCCTCCAGCATCCGACTTCGCCCAGCATCCG